CCTGCAACGGGGTTTCTTTTTGTTTTGTTGGGACTATATTTTAGTTAAGTATTGCCGGCTTAGGTGAACTTAAAAGTGTGGGCCCACAATTATTGTGTGAACTTAAAAGAGTGAGATATTTCACAGTTTGTGCATTTGTTAAGGTGTTTAATACATGTTTAATTCTCATACAGGTGTACGTTTGATTTATTAAGAACTATAGTTAGAGTGTATTATTTCTGTTTTAAACTACTATTTGGTGTGAAGGGAAAGAAATACTGGTATATCATTACTCTAAACTCAACATAGGTTTAAAACACGAGAGTGTACTGATAGTCATTATTTGTAACTTGATGAGTTTAATGAACTCAGGGGCCCTTACCCATGTTAAAACGGTGTAATTGGGCTACAGATGGATGGATGGATGGCCCAGAGTTACCTGAGAGTTTCCAGGTTGCAGTTTGGACTCTTCAGTCCAGCAGAGAGAAGCTTCACTCCTGAATCCTGCAGCTTGTTGTTACTCAGGTCCAGTTCTCTGAGACTGGAGGACTGGGAGCTGAGAACTGAGGACAGAGCTTCACAGCTTCTATCTGAGAGGTTACAGCCACTCAGTCTGAGGAGACAGGGAGGAAAAATATGTTATTAAACAATTCTTCAAAATTTTATGTTTTATGTTCCAGTCAATGATAGTGTTGGATAAATTGTCATGTTATTTGTCAAATATTTGTTATTCTCATGTATCTTTATAATGTATCTTTTCTTATATGCTTTTATTGTTTAGTTTCATCTTAGCATTAAGAATGTTTCTGTATTGTTGAATTACTCTGATTCTCAGAAGGCCTCACTGAAAGAAATCAGTGACATCAGGTTTCTGTAGGGTTATCTCTCAGTGGGAAGCAAGGCGTCTTTGACCGTCTAGATTACTATAAAACTGACTGTGAAGATGTACAACTTGCTCTGTTGAACTCTGTGTCTGGATCGAGACTATCTAGTGCAAGATACCTTGTGTTATAGTTAGTGATTGTCATTGGCGCTGTCGCTATATGATGAAGTGTTTTCCCCTCCCTTTAGAGTTACACTGTTTCTTTGTGATTAGGGATCCTGAAAACAATAAAAAGAGAGGAGCAGGCAAATGTATTTTCAGAGCAGCAGAAGATTGTAACTGAAAGCACATCACTGTCTGTTCTCCTCGTGAGTAAGAAAGAATCTAACACTCTTGTCTTTCCTGTGTTTGTTTAATAGGTGTTAATCCTGAGAGATTAACACCTATTGAACAAATATTCATTTTGCACAGATTGAAAAGAATATCATATTTTCCACATCTTTAAGCCTGGCACAATACATGGCAGTTCACATGTGTTGTGAACAGCTTTATTCTCTAGTTGTGCCTAAAGTCTTAAAAGACTGAAATCCAGCAGCCTTCAAGGAGGCTGGCAAGAGAAACATTAATTTCTGTAATGAGCTGCCTTAATCCAGTGTTGGCTTCAGTAGGAAAAATAATTTCTGCTGTTTGAACAAGTAGCATTATGAATAGTCACCTATGAGAGCTGGTCTTTCTTTTACTCATCATCTGCTAGTAGCCAACATTGAGGAGACAATGTATGAGTAAAGAATCTGATGAAGCACCACTCAGTATCTATCTCATCACTGACAGATTTGTATCTAAAATAACTTCATTAACAATGTGTCCTTACAGAGTTTTGTTGGAGGCTTTAACCACTGGCAGCAGCCTCAGAAGAACCTCCTCTGAAGCAGAGTATTTCTTCAGGTCAAACACATCCAGATCTTTCCTGATGACACTAAGATGAAATTCAGAGCTGACCACTGAGCAGGAGACAGTTTATCTGTGGAGAGACTTCCTGAACTCAGAGACTGTTGGATCTCCTCCACTAGAGAACGATCATTCAGTTCATTCAGACAGTGGAACAGATTGATGCTTTTCTCTGCAGACACATTCTCACTGATCTTCTTCTTGATGTATTGAACTGTTTCCTGATTGGTCTGTGAGCTACTTTCTGTCTTTGTCAGCAGACCTTGTAGGAGTCTCTGATTGGTCTGCAGTAAAAGTCCCAGGAGGAACCGGAGGAACAAGTCCAGGTGTCCATTTGGACTCTGTAAGGCCTGGTTAACAGCTCTCTGATGGAGAGAATTTAGTTTAAGTTTATTAAATAATGAAGATTTCTTAGATGTTTGTGTTTCTTTCATCAAGTTGACCCCAGAGTTGATGAAGGTCAGATGAACATGAAGAGCAGCCAGAAACTCTTGAACACTCAGATGGACGAAGCAGAACACCTTGTCCTGGTACAGACCTCTCTCCTCTTTAAAGATCTGTGTGAACACTCCTGAGTACACTGAGGCTGCTCTGATATCGATGCCACACTCTGTCAGGTCTGATTCATAGAAGATCAGGTTTCCTTTCTGCAGCTGATCAAAAGCCAGTTTTCCCAGAGACTTTATCATCTTCCTGCTCTTTGGACTCCAGTGTGGATCTGTTTCAGCTCCTCCATCATACTTGACCTTCTTTACTTTGGTCTGAACCACCAGGAAGTGGATGTACATCTCAGTCAGGGTTCTGGGCAGCTCTCCTCCCTCTCTGGTCTCCAACACATCCTCCAGAACTGTAGCAGTGATCCAGCAGAAGACTGGGATGTGGCACATGATGTGGAGGCTTCGTGATGTCTTCATGTGGGAGATGATCCTGCTGGCCTGCTCCTCATCTCTGAATCTCTTCCTGAAGTACTCCTCCTTCTGAGGGCCATTGAACCCTCTGACCTCTGTCACCATGCCAACACACTGAGGAGGATCTGATTGGCTGCTGCAGGTCGTGTGGTTATCCAGAGGAGAGCAGAGGGAAGCAGTTTCCCCCTGATGAGGTTTGTCAGCAGAACATCCACTGAGGTGGACTCTGTAGCATCAGTCAGGATCTCCTTGTTGTGGAAGTCCAGTGGAAGTCGACTCTCATCCAAGCCATCAAAGATGAACAGAACCTGGAAGTGTTCAAAGCTGCAGATTTCTTTGGTTTCACTAAAGAAATGATGAACAAGTTCCACCAAGCTGAACTTTTTCTCTTTCAGCACATTCAGCTCTCTGAAGGTGAATGGAAATATGAACTGGATGTTCTGGTGGGCTTTGTCTTCAGCCCAGTCCAGAGTGAACTTCTGTGTTAGGACTGTTTTCCCAATGCCAGCCACTCCCTTTGTCATCACGGTTCTGATTGGTTGATCTCTTCCAGGTGGGACTTTAAAGATGTCTTCTTGTCTGATTGTTGTTTCTGGTCTGTGTGGTTTCCTGGATGCTGTTTCAATCTGTCTGACCTCATGTTCATCATTGACCTCTCCAGTCCCTCCCTCTGTGATGTAGAGCTCTGTGTAGATCTGGTTCAGAAGGGTTGAACTTCCTGCTTTAGCAATCCCCTCAAACACAGACTGGAACTTCTTCTTCAAACCAGATTTAAGTTGATGTTGACAAACTGCAGCAAGATGATCTAAATAAACATAAAAAGTAAAATCAATAATGAAACAAAGATGAAGATGACTGGAATGAATGTTACTTCATCTGTTCAGACATCAATAAATGTGCGATTTATCCATCAGGTTAAATCTTTGTAGAAATCCTCTTACTGCTCTGCAGACGATCAACCAGCTTTTCCTGCTTCATCATCCTCAGGAAGTTCAGTGTGATCTTCATCACTGCCTCTCTGCTGCTCCTCCTCTGCTCTTCTTCCTCACCTTCCAACACCTCATCATCTCTCTGACTCCCTGAGCATTCTGGGTAATCTGGACTCAGAACCTTTTTAATCCTCTTCAGTTCTTTCTTCACAAAAAGTGACAATGTTTTCCTCCAGCAACTGGAACAGAATAATAGATGAAGGAAACATCAGAGTTTAAATCATGGAGCCAAACACCACATGGATGTTGGACACACTGAAAGTCCTCTGGTCTACAAAGTGGAGCATGGAGATGACTGTGAATAGAAGAAGAGTAGTTGTTCATGTACAGACCATAAATATGAAGTCTAGCTGTGTTTGATGCTGCTGGATAGATGAACCACTGGGAACCTCTGAGCTCTGCTGGTCCACTCTGTGGAGGATCCAGGAACAATTAGGAAGTCAGGAAATATTCATCCAGCAGTTTTCACGGAGGAAATCACCAAGAGTTTCACACTAAAATACTTGAATCAGAAAAACAGAGCATGACATGAACACAATACAAAGGAGTTAGAAACAGGAAGATGAATTACAGCAGGAGTCTCAAACTCCAGTCCTTAAGGGCCGATGTCCTGCAACTTTTAGATGTGCCTCTGCTGCACCACATCTGAATGGAATAATGAGGTCATGAGCAAGGCTCTGGAGAACTGATCTACACAAGGAGGTAATTTAGCCATTTCATTTTAGTGTTTTGTACCTGTGGCACATCTAAAAACTGCAGATATAATTCACATGCCTGTGAATTCCAGTAAAACCAGAATCAGTCAGTAAACGTAAAAAGTTGATGTTGCACTTTAAACAGTAGAAACTGTCAGCAGATCTAATGCTGGTGGAGACAATGTCCCAGAGCTTGGAGACAGTGGAAGTGAAGGCTCTGTCCACACAGGTCTTCAGGATAATGTGGGACATCAATCATGTTCTGATGATTAGATCTGAGATGATGTGGATAATAAGGAGGACTGAGCACTTTGAGCTGCTTTCAATATGAAGGTGCTTTAGAAATAAAATTGATTGATTGTAATATGTGGGTGTGTGTCAATGTGCGGTCCTCTACTGGGTGTTATAATGAGAGTTTTTATAAAGTATCCTGGAAATCCTGTTGAGAATAAATAATTCTGTGTTTTCCTCCATCTCTGAGCTATTTGTATGTTTGTATATACATAAATACACACACATAGAGTACACACATGCAAAGCTAAGGTTAAAGGAAATGACATACCAGGGATCGCCCTATTTCATGTGTAACTTAAATAAATTAAAAAATAAAACAGTTACAGCTTTTAGAAACATCTCACCTCTGTGATGGTGGAGATCCAGGAGATTTAAAGTCAATGATCTCATCCTTTGACCTGTTGCTCTTAAAGGACACACAGCTGGGTTCTGGTTCTGGTTCTGGTTTGAGTCTCTGATGGATCCTGACAGAAACATGATGATTAAAACTGAATCAGCAAAGAGGAGAGGCAGCAGCTTCATCACCACGTCTGTTCTGGCCTGATATAGTGAACGCTGTGTGAAAAGGGCTGTGGACAGTTAGAGATGGTGACCTCACCTCTGACCTTTGCTCTGGCTCTCATCTTCCCCACACAGAGTGGTTTTAGAGGGAGGGACTCCCTCCTCTCTGTCCTCACACTGATCCATGCTGCTGAATCCACATCAGCTCACACACACTTTCTAGCTTCACCTGCAGAGGAAACACACATCATTCATCTGCACATCAACTCTGATCATCCTTTACATCATTAGTGCTGGAAAAAGATCAGCTGCTCCTCCTCTGATTGGCTCTTCTTCTCTGCTTCATATCAGTGTCAGGTGAATGCAGTCAGACAGCAGAGAGGCAGAGGAAGCTGCCATCAGCTGCTGCACTTCTACTATCAGTCCACTAGATGGAGACATGGAGCAACATTTACATTCACTGATTCAACCTGAACAACAGGAAGTATTGTATTGCACAATTACACTCTACAGTGATTCACTGCTGCATCAAATATTTACTTTTTAATAATCAGACAGAAGTTAAGACCTTTCAATAATAAGATTTTGTAATAATATTTTATCTTGAAAGGAAGAAACAAACAACTCTTGGCTTTGATTTTAATGCTGGACCAGAGCTTGATGCCAGGAAACAAAAACATGAAGCAGTTTCTTCATAGAAGAAAACAGGAAACATCAGCTGTTCATCATGTTGTTTGATTCCAGTTAATCAATAATCTAATAATACTGTAGATTAGCCTTCAAGTAGCAGAGAGATAATATTTGAGGTGAAAACAGAAGTGAACCTGTTCCCCAAACATCAGAGAGCAGAAACAATCTGTTTCTGAAGAGAAAGTTCAAGTAGGCAAATGATCAAACTTACGATTTAAGAAGATCCAAAGAGTTGATGAAGATTAACTCTTTACTCTAGTAAAGAGTGAACCTCTTTACTGTGATTCTGTTGCTTCTAAACCCAACAGAACCACACCGTAAAACCAGACAGACCTGAACAGGTGTGTTTGATCTGAAAGTGTAAAGAGGAGAAATGAGCCCAAACTGGTCTGACTTGTCAGACTGACTGGGAGTCTGTTGGGTTTATTTAGTTCCCCAACCTGCAAGAATCAACCAAAGACACAAATTACTTTTTCGTAGAAAAGGGTAGAAGAGCTCAACGAAGAGAATCGCTGCCAAACGCTGTCTGAGATCAACTCCATGGGTTCTCAGTCCCCAACTGCCTTTTATTATTATGTGAACACACAAAGAGGTTGGCTTTCTCACTCAGACATGCAAACAATTGACCAATACTCTATCCTACAGGATGTTCTGGAAGTCTTTTGTTGATGTCCCATCATTGGGACACAATAATGACTACTCTCATGATATAGACAAAGATCATTGTGGCTCGTTAATACAGAAATGTGTGAGACATTTCCAACCCTTAAGAGAAAACCCTAAAAGACAGTTTAGAATATACAATAAAGGAAAGGGAAAGAAAACACACGGAATGATATGAAAACATAACCATTCAAATAAAAGTAAATGAACTAAGATAATAATTTTCCAAACAGAGTCAGAGGAACGTTTACCTGTTGACATCATTTGGATTTTGAAACAAACTCATATTTTCAGATTTTAGTGCAACACAATAAAACTGATCTCAGAGCAGCTTCTGGTTCAGGAACAATGGACCTGGAATGTTGACTTTTGCTCTTTTCCAGTATCAGGAAGATTCCAGCTACACAGATCACATTACATCAAAACTGCAGCAGCAGATCAGGAAATAAAGATGATCTGCCTACTTTTGACTATGACTGTAGAGATGATTGATGGAAAAAAAATAATTAATAATGTTTTTGTTCATTTAGCAAGTCATAGAGAAAAACCATGTTGATTTTTCTGTGATATTTTTTACCATGATATTCCTAAATTCATAAATGTCAGATATTTAAACGATTTTTCTCTAACTGAATATTTATTTTCAAAACTAAAGATTTGTTTTTGTAAGTATTTTTTTATCTCAAAACTACATATTTAATTATCTTTTTCATGTCTAGATGTTCAGTCAGACGCTCCATCATGTTGTCATGTTTCAGTTTTTCTCCATTCAGCAACAGTTGGTGAACTGGGTTTAATCCAGTTTAGTCTAATTGTCTTTCTTGCTACCAGCAGCAGAAGGTGCAACAATATGTAACATTGATGTTTAATGAGTAAATCCTTGGTGTTTATGTCCAGCAGAAACAGAAGAGGCTCCATGGGGAGATCTGTCCTCAGAATGTCCTCAGTCTCCTGTTTCATTTCCTCCCAGAAAGTCTTTATTTGTGGTCAGAACCAGAAGACGTGTGTGATGACCGACCATTCAACACATTCCTCCAACATCCATCTGTGGTTGGAATCCTGGAAATGAACGTTTTGAAAGGAGTAACACTTTATTTGACACAGTGTGTTCTATTAAATCTGGTTTTTACTTTCCAGTCAAACTCTTTGCACGTTTGATTTCCAATCCTTTTATTGTACAAAAATGCAAATTAGAAAACTCCACTTCTTGTTTTATCAATCTCCAGTTCAATCCAGTATATTTATGTTCTCAATTTTCCGAACAATCCAAAAATGGAGTCCCCAAACTGGACCATATTTATGGTTTTAACCTCTTTCCTCTTCAGAGATACCACTGCAAACTCGTATCAATGGCTCCTCAGCGTGACCAGTGGGACGCTCTGCTGGATGGAGACTGAACTACAACACTAAAAGAAGTTTTAAACTCACTTTTCAGTTAGCTAATTGAACAAATTTTATTCTGTAAGATAATAAATTGCATGGTTACACAAAACCAATAAAAAAGGTTAACTATTGCCACATTATGGAGTAATCAATCATGGTGAATATCTGCCACAAAAATTCATTCTTGAACAAGATGGCTTTTCCCAGAAGACAGTATTACATTTTAATAAAAAGTGGAGTGGAAAGAAAAACTGATGAAATAAAGATGCACATATGAAATTCACCATTTCTGGAACAATGATATTCCAACATATGTGAAGTAGATTTTTCTTTAAAGAGAAAATGTTTTATTTGCATCATACAGTGTTCTTTTATGTATCACATAAATGTAATTGTATCATAGTCAAGATGTTTTTCGGTGCAGCTGCAGAGGGTGTACAAACTAACTGAACAAGATGCGTCTGCTGAAGTTTCCCAGGCGGGTCGTCTGGGAACTTAATCTTCTCCTCTGTTAGCTGAGAGGTGAATAAAGCAACTATGTAACTCTGAGTTCGTTAGAGCAGATTTAGATTTTCGCCTAATGCAGAGTATATTTTTCCCTCTGTCTGCAGATGTATTAAAGATTGTTTTTGCTCCCTGAACTTGGACTAGACTTGTGCACTTCACACATATTCAGATGAACGTTTATGGTTAGTTCACAATGGAAAAATCTGAGTTGATTTCATCTGAACATTAATTCAATCTGGAGAGACTTAGACAGAGAAAATGGAAACCATTAGAAGAGTTTATTGACATACAAAATTTAAGTCTTTGGCGCTTGGGCCCCGGCTGAGGACATCGATCATCACAATCTTTGCGATGAGCTCGGATGAGCATTCCATATGCTGAAAGGAACGTCATCCCCCGAGACCAGACATTGGTGATGGAGGTGAAGGAAGGATGCAGCCGGAGAGCCGAGTGAGTGGAGGTGAAGGGGTGGAGGAGGGTTGAGCTCTGCTGGAAAGCAGAAGACGCCATGGACGGTGCTATTTATCAGCTGGGACTTGGACAGTGATTGGACGTGACGCGTCTTGGACCAGCGTTGATTAATCAATGGTGATGAACAGGAAGCAACGGTTGGATGATGCAGGTGGGGTTAGAAGAGACTTCCAGTTTGAATTTGCACCTTTTTCCTCACAAAGTGCAATAAGATCTATTATAAATTTGCCCAGTATAAATACACTGATTTCACTGTAAAAATTACTATTTTAGTCTGTAGTGTAAGAAATAAAAAACATTTCCATACAAGTCTTAAATACTTTATACAAAATATTGAGTGGAAATCATACACAGTGAGACAGGTTTAAAGAGACGTGACAGTCCAATGAAAACTCCAGATAAATGCAGTGATTTTATGGTCAAAAGTTACAAAAATGTGCAATAATTAAAAAAAACCTAAAGTGAAAACTTAACTTGGCACAAGGAAATATTTGCTCCCATCAACAGAAACATTGAATTACTGAGGGAAGGTAAGAGGCTGGATCTGTAGTTGAATTTCATCCATTAAAAAGCTGCTGAAACAAAAAGAGTTCAAAATAAATCGCTGTCTACAGAAAATACAAAGAAATGGTAAATAAAAAACATGGGATTGATACTCAGCATGACAGATTACATCTTACATAAAATCACTAAAATAAAAAATACAAAATGTTAAGGACATCAGTCTGGAGAAACAAGATGCAAATTATAACAATTACAAGATAAAGAGATTAAAAATAAACATAATTTTTATAATTAAGGCCACTCGTATGAAGAGCAGAATAAAAAACAAAAAAGGAGAGAAATGTAAACTTGTAATTATTCCAACTCAAGTCCTGCTGTGCAACTCAGTTTGTAACAAAACCCCAAAAAACTCAAAAATGTCAAAAAATGGATCAGAAATCAGATCAAATCTTTAAAAGGGAAATAAATATACAAAAATATAAATAAAATGGCCATGACATGCAGAAAACAGAGAAATAAAAATTACCCAATAGAGGATGAAATGAAGCGATGAGTTAAATTCAAACATTTTTCATGTGAAAACGAGGATTAGCATCGTTTCTGCATGACAAGGCATTTTCCTGCTCAAACTGTTAGAAAACAAATTGTGATTTGTAGTTTTTCTTTGCTAAGTGAAGTGAAATATTTGACTTGTGTTCATTAAAAACAGGGATTTCTTTCCTTTTACATGAACACACATTCACAGCTTGCAGAGTGTAAGGCTTGAACCACTTGGCCACACTTTGGGAGGGGTGGGTTGGATTTATTGCACAAGAACACTCGGGGCGGGTGGGTTCTTATTCGGCCCTTTGACAGGTTCTGGATGGGTTCTGTCTCCTCAGTAGAGGCGGACGAGACTTAAAAAAATGTGAAGTTGAAGAACACTGGAAGCTGGTGAGGTTTTACACAGCAGCCAAGACAGGTCAGAGGTCAAAGCAGTGCCACTGCATCAAGCAGAGCCTCATCTTCCCTCCTCTGCTGATCGGGTCTCGGACTTGAGCCGGACGAACTCCTTGGCGACGTCGTCGTTGGAGCGCTGGGAGAGGATCCGCATGGCGGTCAGGCCCGTGTCGTCCATGGAGATGCGCTGCCCAGGGGGCACCAGCAGGCGCAGTTGCCCCTCTCCATGATGTCCCTCAGCTGCACCACGGCCAGGCCCACCACCCGGTCGGCGCGGCCGAAGCAGTAGTCCTTGACGCAGGCTTGAACCTCGTAGCACTCGAACCCGTCCTGAACACCCAGAACGCTGCAGAGCGAGAGCAGAACACAGGAGTGGGAGCACATGGGCTAGGGCGCTAATTGCAGAGCTAATTCCTGATTTTGTGCTTTTTCTGAAACTTTAAAAACATTCGTACACCTAGCTTTTGATGATCTAATTTTCCATTTTAAATCAAAACATTTTACTTTGATTTGAGGTCCAAACCTGCAGTGGTAGATTACACTATTGCTAATCTGCTAATGTGCTAATAGCAGAACAAATTTGTTGTGCAACACATTTTGATTCCCCTAAATCAGTTTTCAAGATAAATTCTAAAGCACTAATGTACTTTTGCTGTTTTCTACACTTTCAGTTGAATAAAGTTTGACATCTGTAGTAGAAGGGACTTCCATTAAGCTGCTAATGTGCTAATAGTAGAGCTAATTTTAGCTTTTTTTATAACTTTTAAAACTATTGCCACACAATTAATTTCTTAAAATAAATCCAGATTTTATTTGGAAAAGTTAAATTTGAGGAAGTTCACTAAATGTTTAGCAGAAACACTAAATGAACAATTAGCTGTGCTGCTAGCGCATTAGCTGACATTGTCCAGTAATTCACAAGGACTTTGTTTTGTGTAACCAACAGTTTATGAAGTCAGAATTAAAAGAGCTTCAAATCCTAAATGTGTCACGACGTTTGGTTTTGAACTTACAAGTGAAAGGTCTCGTTGTATTTGGGAGACCAGCTGTTGTTCTTGGATTTGGTCTGAAATCGGCGCTTCTTGTCGCTGAGGTGCGGCCCGATCATCGTGACTTCCACGAAGGGTCTGAACATCCCAGACGTCTGCCACTTCAAATCACTGGCAGCAATCACTGCATCAATGACACAAACATTTAAACAGAAATGACACTGAAATGCTCCAGCTTTGATTTTTGCTTCAAAATGAGCCCAAACGGACCTTTGAGAGTAACTTTCCGCTCTCCGCTCTTGGGATGAGTGTACAGCTCAATCTGCAGGGAAACCTCTCCGATGGGTTTGTCCACACCTGAGCCTGGTTTACAGAACAACATTTGGTCCAATGCAGGCAAAGAAAACCACGTTTTATAGAGTCATGCGACAGAAACGCAGGTTTCACAAAACAGAAGAGAGAAAACGATGAAGGGAAGTTGGGCTGATGATGATTTCATGGAGACCTACCCCTGCTGGGCTGGATTTTCTCATTAGGGGTTAACCTAATACCCTTCCCATTGTGCACTGGCACAGAGGCAGCAGGAGATAAAAACAAGACAGCAACTTAAACAACCAAATCCAGGAGATAGAAGCAGCGAGGAATCTGAAACTCTCCCGTATTTAATCTTCTTTGAGGCGTTTTGGATCTACCCTGTGAATGCTGCGTGGTCACGAAGGTTTTGATGAGCGTGTCGGTGGTCTGGGTGTAGAGCGACAGAGCGTGGCGGAGCGACGAAAGCTCAGCGCTCTTCTCCAGGAAAGTCTTCTTCAAGCCGTTCCCGCCCGCATGAAAGTATTGCTGCGTAGGAAACAAAACGAGAGGAATCAGCGTTCTACAACCTGAATGATTAAACTTAAAGTGGCGTTAATCAGACTTTTAGTTAATTAACCAAAAGACTCTTAAAATGTGAATGAATTGTACTTTTCTGTTTGACCAGAGGTCAACGTTTCGCTCTCACCTTGATGGTATCCAGAGCCACATCCATGACGGCACACTGCCTGGGCGTCAGGCTTTTAGCGTCTCCTGCCATGTGATCCTAAACAACCCAAACCAAGACTTTGACTAGACCAATTCAGGAGAAAGCAAACTCAAAGGCAACCTGATACCTTCAGTTTGGAAAGGTGTCCCAGTTCTTTAGCAGCAGAAAGGATCTGTGCTCCCTTCAGGAAAAACAGAAAAATGAATGATTCTTTTAGTTTTCAGAAGCCTTGTTTCAATTTTAAGTATCATATTAGTAAAGTTTGATGGAAATGGAAAAAAAGCATCGATACAACTCATGTTCATACATAAAGTGAGTTATTTATCTGCTCTATATGTGATTGGATGATGTTCAGTTTGTTGACTAATAATTAAACTGAATATGCCACAGTCATCATTTTAAAACATATTGGATAAAAATATTTTTTGTGTTTGGTCACGTCTGTCAAATGTTTACATCTCATCATCTGACACAATTACGAGTTGATCCATTTCAAAATGGCAGCCATGTCTCCATCCAGCTGTGATTCAAATTTTGAGCAAATTTTTATAATAATGTATAAAAGAAAATGCAAATTACACTGCAAAACCATAAACTCTTACCAAGTATTTTTGCTCTAGTTTCTAGTGCAAATTTGACGAATGTGAATTACATTTAACTTTTCTTTTTGGGATAAATAAAGTATGTTTTGAATTAGAATTTAAATATTTCAGCACATTTTAAATAAGACAAAAGTAACTTAATAGTAACTTATCAGATGAAGAAGCTTGTTTTAAGTCGATAATTCCTTAATATTGATTAAAAAAAGTAGCTGGCAGATTATTTAATTTAAGGGACGAACAGATTATTGTGAAATAATCTGTTCTTTACTTAGCAACCCAAGCAAGGGCTACACAAAATAAGTTCATTACATTTATTTTGCCCAAAATTATTAATATAAAATGAGATTTTAGTCTGGTTATTATTTCCCTTATAACATTGCAAAAATATCTTGATTTAGGTGAAATAATCAATGTTGGAGAAACATTATCGTCATTGATATTGTAATAACAGCAATAGTGTTACAACAACACTATTAAATAATATGTTGTTGTAATTTCAAGGCTGCTGTTTCCTGTCAGATTCCCTCAGGTCTCCACAGCAGAGAGATGGATCACGGCGCTCTTCCTCCACCTCCTCGCCGCGCCCCATCCTCATCCTCCACCACCTCCACTGAGTTCTGATGGGTTGGTTCAGATCCTCTCTGGAGATCAGACACCAGAACAGAGGCGGATCAGAACCAAAGCCAGCAGCTCTGCTGAAGCCCAGGAGAACTCTGAGTCCAGATGTGGACCCTGGTCTCCTCCGAACCTCCTCTGTTCTGCTGTGGAGGAACTGTGTGGCTCCAGTTCTGCAGCAGGACCTTCTCAGCTGCAGCAGAAGAAGAAAGGACTTCCTGTGTTCAGGTTGGATAGAAACCTGGATATTTTCTACCTTGTGGTTCTGCTTCTAGCGTAGATGTTCTCCAGGGTTCTGATCTGGATCTAGTGGACTGTAGAGCTCATCAGGTTTCCTCTCATCCACTTTGAGATCTTCAGCCTCCTTTAGATTCAACCTGAAGCTTCTTCTGACAGATTAGCTGCAGCTGATATTTAGCATGATGTTTATTATTCTGGCCTCAGTTTTCTGTTCTTCATGTGACTCCACTGAATCCAACTCTGATGTCGTTCACTTCACAAGTGATGAAGATCCATTTTTCTTTCACTTCCTGCTGATTTCTTTCCAAAGCTCCATTTTTCCAGGAGGATCTTCAATGTTCTCTTTAGATGATGAAGGAACTCAGACTGACTCCACCCGGCTGGTGCTCCAGGTGAGCAGAAACAAACAAACCCTGAAGTCATCTCTGCAGACCAGCTTTAGATTTGGACCAACTGAACATCAAGCTTCAGTAACGTCTCAGTTAAAGTTTGTTTCCAGATCTGAGATCAGAAAGTTCTGGAACAAACTGGTTGCTCTCCAGTTTGATGATGTTTCCAACCTGAATGTTCATCCATTTTTCTTCTCTCAGCCTGGAAAGAAAATCCTCTAAATTATCTGGCTTGATAAAAAACTGTTTTATTAGTAAAATCTTGGAATCTTGACTCACTCTTTGTGTATCAGGACTTTCACCTTGCAGTTATCACCTGAAATGAAGAGGAATTGTTTATTTTTGGTCTGAGAATAAAATGTTTTGTAAGGATCATGTAATCACATCCTGGAAAATCCTTCATAGTTTATCTTTGCTCTAAAGTTATGAAAACCCGAAACCTCTCCCTTTTTAACAGAGATCAATAACCAAACACTCTGATCTTTGCTTAATCTGCCAGTTTGACAAATATAAATGAACATCGCTTCAAAATGTGTGTATTTTATACTTCTGAGTGGGAAAGTGTTTCTGAAATGGAGCAGGAAATACATTTCATAACAGCTGATTTGCATGTGATCAAGACAAGAAGGCAGCGGTCAACACACACACACCCAGTGGTGTGTTCACACACACTCTGCGGAACTTTGTGTTCATCAGGAGGTCGATTGTTTCAGGTTTGAGCTAAAACAGAAGCAGCAGCACTTCCTCTACAGGAGAAAACACACGAGGTCATGAGGTCAAGCTTTGTGACAGTAAATAAAACACATGAATAATCTCTTGGTTTGCTAAATTATAATAAAACATGATATTTATGTTATGAACAATGAAATAATTTTAGCTTGGATTGGCTCTGAACACATCATAAATCACTGATTCATTATAAAACTTTGACTAGACTCAGAGTAGACTTATGTAAATATACATGATGAAGTATTTAAATTCAGCATTTCACTGAAAAAGTAATTAAAGTGTAGATACAGGGATAAAGATTAGCATGCTAACCCTCAGGTTTCCCATCAGCCACTTGGGTTTCAGGATGACCAACTTTTTAAACATGGCTGCTAATTTTGAGCCTTTTAAACCAGATATGGACATTAATGTTCCCTGTTAGAGATTCAGGTTTTAACTTATGGATCTTTGTCAGTAAATTTGATTTAATTATTGGGGAAGAATAAAAAAAAAATTGTCAAGGAATAAACTAAAAATTAGGTTTTTGGAGGTGAAATGATTAATTGTTGAATAAAAATGGAAAATTAATCATGTAGGATTAATGAGATTATTTTATTGTGAAATTTTAAACACATTACATTTGTACTTTCACTTTGTGTAAAGAGTATTAATACTAATTGAATTCATATAAAACATGCAGTTTTTCATGTTATTGAACGTAGGCAGCCTTCAAATGAGCGGTCCTTATTTTTCTGTGATGCTTCCAGTCTCTGCGTTGTCCTGTTTCCCCTTGATTGTTCCCAGGTGTTTCTCGTTTCTGTGATTACCATCTGTGTATTTAATCCCACGGTTGTCCTTTGTTCCTCATCGGATCCTCATCGTTCTTTACGTCATTTTGTCAAGCCTGTTCTTCTGTCCACCAGGATGAACAGTTGCTACAGGCGTTGAGCCCTGGCTTCAGCTCAGCCATGCTGCCTGTTTTTGTGTTTCCACTTGGACTATTTTTTACTAATAAAACCATCATTTAACTATATCCTGGGTTTTCTGCCTGCTGCTTCACCACCAGTATACCAGCATCTCTTGATAGAGTGAAGCTATGACAGAAAACAACTGAAAAACATGTGGATCCTGGAATAATCCTGGAATAATCCTGGAATAATCCCAGCTTCCATCTTTAAAGGACTGGAAGAAGAAAAGTTTCCAAGGACTCAATCAGAATCGTTTCACGAAGAAATAGATTGTAGAGACTGAACTATCTGTTCAACAGTGAGAGAGTTTCTCTGACAGGAGGAAAAACTTTAGACTCTTTAGACTCAAATCAGCTCAGAAACACTGAAGAGGAACCAGAACTGAACCCACAAGAACCCAAATCCAGGAATCAGAGGTTCATGAATGTGGTTTGAAGGTGTGGAGGAGGATCAGTGAGTCAGAGGAGACTCTGTAGAAGGACAGAATGCCAGCAGGACAGTCCACATACACTGCTACTCTGTTAGAGACAGAGGAGAGGAGACGAGTTTTCTATGTTATTGTGACAGACAGAGAAACCATGACGATCAGAGCATCTCAGACTCCAGGAATGATCATTACATCCAAACAAACAGTCTATACTGTTTCCTTTCCTCCTGATTCTTCTGTAACTCACTGATATATAAACTAATCCTCTCCACTCAACCTCCCAGTAACAGCGACCAGTCAGACCAGTTCTACACAGCAGCTGAGGAAGATCAATCTGTCTGATGATCAGGATATGACTGAAGCTCCTCCACACATGTCACCTTCCTGTTGTCTTCAGACAGTTTGAGTTTTCTGTTCACTGTGTTTGTGTCGATGTGAGTTGACAGGAATCTGATGGAGAACAAACACAATCCAGCTGCAGTTATTGATCATTTATTGACACTTTGACTCCTGAATGAGTGATTGACAGTTTGAAGATGGTTGAATGTGAGCTGCTTTGTTGTCATGAATCAGATGAAACACACTTACATTTCCTCAGACCTGGAGTCAAGAATCGGCCTCCAGCAGGCTCCACCCTGAAAGGAGGAGGGGGGTCAGACCATCAGTCTCTTTCAGCAGCAAACATGGACATTTACATGTCCTCTCAGACACATTGTCCTCCACTGAGACAGGAACAGTCCAACATCTGGATTGCAAACTGCAGTGGATGTAGGAAGGACAGTTGGTGCTGCTGCAGCACAACTCATTTCTCCAAACAGGAAAAGCTCCAACAGAGAGGAGAAAGGAATCCCTCAGTAACAACCTGAAGAAACTCACTGAAGCCTAAAAGGACATCAGGAAACTAAGGAAACATTTCTGGAAGCTCCACCTGATTCAATAATCAGCATTAAAATACAATCAATCTAAACTCTGATCAACACCTGGATACCTGATCCATCCACACTCCCACACACAGATGAAGGAATGAAACACTAAACAGCCCTGCTGCTGAAAACCTGCTGTGGCCTCACTGTAATATTCCAGAATACAAACATTAAAAGGAGAAGCTGCATCACATTCAACAAAGATTCAACAAGAATCAAGATTTGATCTCTGAGCTCAGACTCACAAACCAGGGAGGCTTCCATCATCACACACCTCTGACAACACCTCCAACCTTTCAGCACT